TTTTAATTTTATAAACAACGCTATAATGTTAAGTAAACAATCATTATTCAAGTAACTTTTATTTCTTTTGAGAAATTATCACAAAAACTAAATACTTCCATGTTGCATTGATAACCTTGAATGATTGACTTACAAAGACTGACTGACATAGATAGAGCTATTATAGATTAACTATGTAAACCCATTACATCCCCCTCACACTGCAAGAAATTTTAATTAGCTATTTAAATATCTACCACATAATCTTGAAGATAGACTGGTTTCTGATTTATAGATAGACCTGCCAGATCTGGTATACAACCCATAATTGTTTTCACCGTTCCTACTTTCCAATCGTTCCCGAGGATAATTCTCTGGACTCTGTGTCCTAGTACAGTAATTATCAACATTAATTGTGGAACATTAACCCCATAAACTTTCTCTGTTTTGTCTATCAGTCACCACTCTATCTTCAAAGTCATTACTGTTATTATCTATAGAACAATTTGCAACTTTTCCTGGTTTCTATTTCTTAATTAGGTATCTTTTTTTTCTTTCTAATATTTGTCCTTTATCTGTAAGTATTTTATAAGAATTAGGACTTACATCTCTTGAAAATAGCAAGAAACCTCCGCGACAACTCGTCTCACTGCATCATTTGTACAGAAGATCTTTGTTTCATTTCGTCCATCGAGTCACCTCATCGCTCGCCGACTTCAATCTCACATCGTGTTCGTTATCGTCATCGTTGTCGTCCTTTTGAGGACTATATATAGTGGTGCTTTCTATCGCCCGGTCTTTCGAAACATCTGCAACGCGTCTGCGGCGAAGACTGAGGCCCTTCGGGAGAGAGTGCTTTGTGCGCCCACTGTGTACAAAGTGCTCTCTCTCCCGAGTAGGATAGTTCGACGTCTGGGCGTATCAGCGCCCCGGTGTCAGCCGACGCGCCTCCCGACTCTCGGGGTCAGCGGCATCGCACGTCTGCTGGTCCTTCGGTAGCCGGATCCAGAAGAAGAAGATCACAGAAGATCACCCTTACAGAAAATAGTGCGTCAAGAGGACTGAAGTCCGTAAAGACATAGTTACAGAAGATAGTCCGACAAGAGGACTGAAGAAAGAAGGATCTTTATAGAAGATAGAATAGTAACAGAACACAGAAGACAGAAAAATACCCATCACAAGGAGCAGAACTGGCAGGATGCAGGAGGAAACAATAGAAGAGCGCCTAACAGTTACAGAACATGGGACCTGTTCTGATCCACCACAGAGGTAAAACCCGTTCGTAGTACTACAGAGGGTCATCAACGATTGGCATACAGACACCATTCAAGTTGGTGACCTAGCGACGGCAGTAACAGAATTCGTCAGGGCGACTATGTCGTCCATGGCTGCCGTCACGCAGCAACAGCAAGCGTCCACGTCGGGTCCCCTAGCGGCACAGTGTAGAGGGGAACTCACGCCGTTCTACGGAGCGCATACAGATTCGTTGGCCTTCAAAGCAGCTAACGAAGAATCTGCGGAGTACCTAACGCTGTCGCAGAATATAGAAACGCTCCGGAGAGCCTTACGAGAGGAAGCCAGGGCGGCAATGAAGAGCCTCCTAATAGCAAACACGCCGACGTGTCCCGTGCGTAAGTGGATTTCGCACACGACAGCACAACAGTGCGAAAAATTCAAGAAACAAGATAGCAACGGGTGTTGGGAAATAGCGAAGGCGCATCGTCTGTGTTTCCGATGTCTACAATACCGGACACAGACACATACCTGCAAGGCGAAGACTTGCGGAATAGATGGCTGCCAACGTATGCATCATAGATTTTTTTTGTTACGGGAACGATTGCATTAACCAATTCAGTAGGGTATGTCACCTTTCTGATTACACCTAACCCTTCCATTCTATGTAATTCCTGACGTAATTTGTCTTTAAGTCCCAAAGGAATTTTTCTAGTAGGACAAACAACGGCCTGTATGGTTTTATCTACTACTAGCTTTCGCCCGCGACTTCGCCCGCGTGGATCTTGGTTATCGCAATATGCAATTTTTGAAAATAACTCGATAGATTTATTCGGATAAGGATTAATACTGGAGTATGAAAATACCACCCAGACGGCGACCAGCATGGTTATTCGTAATTTTAGAAAGAAAAGTGATTATTGTGACCTAACCGTAATAGTTAGACATATACTATCGCGGATTTATTTGTAGATCTCAATGAGTACTTTAAAAACGTAGAACATTGTTGTCAGTGCGCGCAAGATAAGCGAATTTTATACAATTTCTCTTCCGACTTGCTCGACATAAATGGTCACAGTTCGGTAAATATAATATATAGATATAATATATAGACTATGGCACTCACAAAGGATATAGCTATCGATTGGTGAAAGAATTTTTGAAAGTCCAGTAGTTTCGGAGCCTATTCGTTACAAACAAAAAAAACAAATGTTTCCTCTTTATAATATTAGTGCAGATTATAGCGACCCGCTCCGACTTCGCACGGGTGTAATGCTAAGCGCAAAAATGCTTTAATTTACGACATCACATTAGAAACCTTTAAAATTATCAGTGTTTCTCTGCTATATTATGCACAGTGGATCCGCCGTCGCTGCGCTTCGGGTACCATTTTTACCCCCGTAGGAGATACTTTTCAAAACACCTATGTCCTAAATGTTAAAACTTACCTACCTATACCATACTGATGCGGTAAGAATTTTGAAGTTTTATTTAACACGCCTCGCGCGCTAGACCTCTAAAATTATCAGTGTTTCTCTACCTCCCCTCCCGCACGCGCATCCTGCCTTGGTGACGCTCACTTCGCAACGAGTCGTAGAGCAGAAATCGTAATATTTTAATTTCGCCATAACTTCAAAACAAAACGTCCAATTTTAATTATTCAAAGGCCAAATATTATCTACATAAACTGCACTTAGTGATGAAATAATTTATTTTGATAAGGATTAATAACACGAGTAAAATAAATGCGTTTAAATGTAGTCCAAAAAAATTCATGATTTTTTTAAATAAAAAAATGGTTGTTGTGCCTCACTCGACATATATAAGTATAGTGTGTCGCGGACTTTTTTGTAGATATTTATAAGATCTACAATTAATTAGAACATTTTATGGTTCTATCTTTTATAGTTTAGGCAGCGTACGCAAAATAAGTAACTTTTCTGGTTGATTTTTTACACCTTGTGTCCGATAAACCCAAATATTTTACGGAACCCTATTTTTTTCCAAAATAAAATTTAACCTATGTTACTCGTGGATAATGCAGCTTTCGAATGATGAAAGAATTTTTAAAAACGGTCCAGTAGTTTTTGAGCCTATTCCTTACAACCAAACAAACAATATTAGTGTAGATAATACTATAATAATATTTCCCTGGTAATTTACCTAAACCTTGAAATAAATCTGAATATTGATCAATATATATTGCACTTATTTAATTGACTAAACCTAAAACAATCGAACTTTCCAACCCGAGTACATTCTGACAGTTAAAATCGGAAATAACAAATGGTAAATTAAAATATTCGTTATTATATCGAAAAGTAATAACATCGCACCCTAAAATTGGCAATTGATTACCCGTAAAGGAATGCACTCGTTTTGTGAACGGTTTAAGATTCATAATTGAGAAACCCAAATACAAATATATATTTCTTTTAGAAATAACATTGATCATAGAACCCGTATCTATTTTGATTTTTTTTTTTTTTTTTTTTTTACTATTACACTCCATTACCTCTGTCCATTCCAAAGACGACTTACTCGGTTTTCTGCCCTCCTCAATAGTATCGACAAAGACCATTTCCTCGTCACTTCTGTCACTCGCCGATTCTACACTGAGATTTAACACTTTGCGCATCGCTTTCTTTTGTATACACACTCGCGAGAAATGTCCTTTTTTATTACATACATAACACGATGCATACTGCGCGGCGCAGTGCTCGCCGCCGGGGCACCGGCCGCCGCACGCGGGGCACAGGCCGCGCGCCTCGCGCGACGCTCTTATCGTGAACCGTGTTCACTTGAACACCTTCCGATGTCCTGTCTATACACAAACTTTCATCTTTAGACATCTCTGCCGCTTGACAGATATGTATCGCCTTGTTTAAAGTCAAGTCGTCCGTACGAAGAAGCCTGTCTCTTACAGTGTTGTCGATATTATCACATACAACTCTATCTCGTAACAAAGTCTCTTGTAACTCATTAAATTCACATTGTTGACTCAATACTCGCAAGGCGGGTCACATATAGATAGATCAACATTTTCGCCGTCTTCTAGGTTGCGAGTTAAAAATTGAAATCTTCTTACCGTAATATTTGGCTTCGTGGCAAAATAAGTATAAAATTTTTTTAACAAGCAATTGATATCATCATTCGTCGCGCCATCGTCAAAAGTGAAAGTTGTATAGACCTCGTATCAGGCCGGCCCTCATAAGGTTAACCAACAAACTTGCCTGAACTTCCTTAGGTTCCTTACTATCTCCAGATGCCTTCAGAAAAATCTCGAACATATTCCGCCATTTTCGCCATGCTTCCGAGCTTGCAGCCGGACCACCATCAAGCGACAGTTCCGCTGAAGGACACGCGTCTTCCATATTTACGAATATGAATCAATACAATGAATTATATCAATTTAAAAAAAATAAAAAAAATTTGATCTTTATGATAAAATATGAATTTTAAAACTATAAAATGAACGCACCGCTGCCACCACGTATTGTAGTGATACGCAAGCGAGTTGGTGAAACACTAATTTATTCATTAAAAGAAAATATAGAACAAATTGTTACCGGCCAGTATTTACAAAATTATTAGTGGCCAGAACTATAAAATACTGTAATATACTATAAAATCCAAGAATCGTTAAATTATATGGCTGTGGTGCATTTCTGGTCAGGAAATAATCCATCCAGCCATCTGATTCAGAGACCATTCAGCTGTTTTCGTTTTGCCTAAACTGTCCCTTCCACTTTGTTTTGAACGACAATGCAATGTAAATAAAAGAAAGATTTTAGAAAATTTCTTTATTTTTGATATTTACAAAACAATTGCTGTATTTTACAATACAATCTTAATCTTAACATATAATACAATATTGATTACGCATTAACACACCTTATGCATCATTTCACAACCAGGGTGATAAGTTTGTTATTAAAAATGGTCGCAGTCTATTGAAAAATAATAAGTATTATATAATTTTATACAGATATATGTAATACCTAGAGACTATTGAAATCAAATAGAATTCAGCAGTATGCATATATCTAGCCAACTTTATTCTAGTACACAATACATTCAACAGACTAACACTAAAATTAATACTATGACTGTGGAGCATTAGCGTGCGCGTGGGCGCCTAGACGACTAGGGTCTTGACTCGGGTAGTGAAGTCCCACGGGCGTAACCGGGGCCACGGGCGCGGGTGGCGGAGGTACCGGCGGGGCCATGCCCGGTCCCCACCCGCCCCAACCTCCAGGGCCATAGTGGTGCAGGTTGAAGAAATCATTGGGCCGATTTGGTGGTGGTGGCATCTGAAATTAATTATATATTATAGATATAGTTTACATGACAGCGACATTATCGGGCAAATACAATTACAGGAATTGTTCAATGGGTATAATAAGTGTATTCTGTAATGTCTACTGTGCTGTTCATATTTATACATTATAATTAATATTTCCCATCAAACGGTCTATCAACTTGTTTGCCATCTCCAATTGTAAAAAATAAATCGAACATCAAATGACACTTGTCATTTTACCGGTTTAATTGGCTAAATAAGTGAGAAAAAATGGTGGGCTTAAAATTTATTTCTCTATGTAACATAAGAAATGGGATAGATAAGTTAGAAAAAATGTCTACAACCCTTTAATAAATATTAGTGAGGAGGTAACAATCTTAAACAGTACTTACTTGAGGTGGGAATGGATGTAGGAAGGCCGGCGGTGGAGGCAAAGTACCAGGCAGTCCTGGTACAGGCTCCAAGACTGGTGCAGACTCGTTCTTGTCATTTATTCCCTGACGTCCTAAAAACAGTATACAATTATTGTAACAGACTTAATATGGAATTAAAATGAGTAAAATGGATTGTAAAAAGAATTACCGACTTTCATTCGGAATTGATAAAAACAAGTGTAACACAAAATATAGATAGTTAAATATTTGCCAATTTACTTATAACCCCTTAGAAAATGTTTTATCCACAGATCTAATAATATTAGTAGTATTATTAATTTTATTTATTTACATATCAAAGTAATGTAATACTACAAATATAAAAAAAAAAAAAAAAAAAAATGTAAATAATATTATGGACATTTGAGATTGATCATACCTTGAGATTTTCCCCATTTGATAGTTAGTCTCTTGCCACCAATCACCAAGCGGTTGAATGTCTTCTCGGCTGCATGCTCAGCAGCACTCCTTGTGGTGTACTGTACAAAGGCACATTGTGCCCTCGGCACCAATGTTAGGGACCTGCAATTAATATATAATTTTAATTTGTACATTATATACAATCTAAGTAGAAAACACTGCAATCATTATTTTATTAAGAGAAGGTATGACAAAATTGTGATATATATTTATTAATGGTCTTAATGTTCTGGATTATTAATAAACAAATATTATAAAATTAAATGAAATAGTTTATTATTACTTTTTGTGTAATTTATATTCACGTAATAGCACCTCAATTTGTAATGAGATGTATGTCAGTTCATGAAAATGCTGTCAGCATTTATATACCTTATCTCTCCATATTGATAGAAATGTGCTCTGAGTTCATCTTCAGTGATATTGTCTGGCAGGTTCCCAACATATAGCGTAGTAACAGTTCTGTCCTCTGGGGGAGGTAATGCTGGCATGGCAGCCGCACGACGCATCAGCTTCTCAGCCACAGGATCATTCACACCATAGTACCTAAAACATAAATATATATTAATACACCATTCAGCCTTAAAACTAAATAAACCATTTACAAAGGGGGGAAGGTATTGTCAGTAATGAGGAGGTTAGTCCCTATTGCTATCAATATATCCTATCAGGTCAATCTCCATGCGGTTCCCCTGGAACCTATCATGACTAGTTTATCGTTGAATTCATCCCGATGCGCTAACTGACCTGCTTTTTCATCCTCACCAATCATCCCTCGCTGGTGCTCCACCAGTGTATACCGATAGAGCAGGCTGTGTTATTATATCATTATCATCCATTTAATAAAAAACTGTCGTATACTAAAGTGGGTAGATGTTAAAAAAGTTAGTGCATAGATATCATCCCAGCCAGAGTGATTCAGTTCTACAAGTATACATATTTTAGTGACGAGGAGGAAAATAGTGGAAAAGTGAAATAAATTGATTATTGCCCAAATTAAATATATAAATAATAACAATGGATATAAAATTTAATGAGTTTGACCTTGCACATTGGTGTTGGCAAAATTACATTTAAAAGTTTTGTTTTTGTCTTGAAGCTGTGAAGAAGTGAAATTGGAGAAGATTCACTTTGTGACCCTAAATTGTATGATTTAATAGTTTTTTTTAATATCTCCAAATATTTGATGTAACATTTTCTTTTATAGTAAGTATTCTGAATAATCATTTTCGTCAAAAATCCAACGAAATTATAAATTTCACACTAGAAATCAAGAAGAAGGTGAAAGAATAAAGAATTTACGAAAAATAAGTATAGATTGTAATTTTACTGATTTAGATCGTACCTTAAGGAACAGATTAGCGTGGAGTATATTAGATAAAGATATTCGAAATAAATTGTTACAACAAAGACAATTATCATTTGAATGGGTTTTTGGCAGTATTGTCGCAGGAAATTGCAAATATTGATGCAAATATTATTATACCATGTAGTGCAAGCAAATATGTGGAAAAAGGTGTGGAAAAAAGAGACACACAGAGGCAGCTTGCTTGCTAAAGTCAAATCAATTTAAAAAAGTACAAAGCCCTAAATGTAACGGATTGTATGAGATAGGAGTAAATAGTATTAAACGAGACAATGTGGATCCTTTTATGATTAAGATATCTCTAAACGGAAAACAGAACTACTGATGGAGGTGGATTCAGGCTGTCCATATACAATATTTATTGAGACAACCTCTAAAGGAATATGGAAGGATAAATTACCCGAAATAGATATAACATATATTGGATTCTAATATTATACTGAAGGTAAATTAGTATTATTTGGTCTAACAACAGTACAGGTAAAATATAATATAAACAAATAATTAAAAATATGAACATATTGATAACAAAAGGTTCTGGTTTAATTGGTAGAAATTGGTTTTCAAATCTAGGCATTAGTATACAGGGGATAAATAATGTTAATTATTTTGTGATAAAGTTCCAACAAAACAAATAATATGTAAATTTAATGAGGTTTTTGAGTCAGGTTTCAGCAGATATACTGGACTGGTGGTGTGTATTACACCAAAAGTGGATTCTATACCTAAATTTCTCAAAAGCAGACCCATTTCATTTGCAATTAGAGATAGAGTTTTTAAAGAAATAGATAGATTGGTTAGAGAAGAGGTATTTGAACCTACTACATATTCAGAGTGAGCTATGTACACCTATAGTTCCCGTGTTAAAACCAAATGGACAAGTATACTTGTGAGAAGATTATCTGTCCACAGTGAATGCAGCTACCAATACTGATCTTACTTATCCATTACCTACGTTTAATAAATCATTTGTGCAGCTGCAGGGGGAGTGATATTTTCGAAAATCGTTTTGGAAGCAAACATATATACACAAGTGGGTGTTGATGATAAGACAGCTAGTTTTCTTACAGTGAATACACCAAAAGGTCTCTACAGAGTAAACCGATTGGCATTTGGTGACAAAGCGTGGTCCTGGTATATTCTAGAGATTGATGGCATCATTACTTGCTGGGATGTCAGGAATAGCTGTTCTGTTAGATGATATTGTTATTTCTTGGAAAGACATTAATTTACAAGTACCCGTAACCGGCGAGTGTGTATAAAAAGATTGATGAATGTAAAATATGGTATATTGGCCTACCCTAATAAAGATATGTATGTATGTACATTAATCTACACAATGCAAGATTGGAGATGGTCCTACAGAGATTACAAAATGCTGGTCTAAGGGTGAATAAAGAAAAATGTATGTTTTTTTATATGATTAAGTTTTTGGGATATGTGATGAGTCAGGAAACTCACCTATCTAGGAAGAAGAGTGCACAGAAAAGACACCAGCACCAAAAAATATTAAAAAGCTACAAGCATTTTTAAGACTTGTAAATTTTTATGACAGAATTTTACCTCATAAAGCAATTATTGTTGATCCTTTGTATATACTGGAGGACTCTAAATGGAAATGGAAAAAATAACACCAAAAGGCTTTCACAACTTTGAAAACTATATTATCCAGTGATGATACTCTGGTTCATTATGATGGCAATAGGAAATTAATTATGTCTTGTGATGTAACTCAATTCAGACTTGATGTAGTGTTAGAACACTAAATGGAAGATAAAACTATGAAACCAAAAATGTTTACATCAAGAACTATGAATGTACATGAACAGAAGCATGTCCAGATAGACAAGGAAGTCCCTGCATTTATTTTTGGATTAAAGAAATTTCACTAATAAAAAGTGGACATAAAGTGATAACTAAGACAGACTATAAATCTTTATTGGAAATTTTTAGACCAAGGAAGCCAAGAATTCTGAGATGGACTATGTTATTAAATTATACGAATTTAAGATTCAATATGTGAAAAGAAAGAGGTTGGAAAATGCAGATGCATTAAATCGGTAGGCTACAAAAGAATCAATTACAGAAAAAGAATAATTAGGAGATTTATTAATTGAAGAAACTCTAATGAAGCTTGAATTTTCAGCTATAGTTGTAGCAAAACTCACTAAAAAGGACAAGGTATTAAGTAAAATATTATATTGGATAAAGAATGTATGATGGCCTTCTAAGGTAGATACAGACTATAAATTGTTTTGGCAAAAGAGAGATAATTTATCTGTACATAGTAATTGTATACTATGAGGAAATAGAGTTGTGGTGTAAATAGTAAAAAATTTTATTAATATGCTCAGAAAACAGGATTCATCAGTGGTTGAAACCAGACAAAGTCTGGTGAAGACTACATATTTATTATGCTGGGCCTTTTCAACATAGATCTTTTCTGATACTAGATATATATTTTAAGTGGCCAGAGGTTAAAGTAGTGAATGATCTAAAAAGTGCTATATTAATAAGAATATTTTTAAGGGATATTTTTGCAGAACAAGGGCTGTTTCTATTATAAGTGACAATGATCATAGTTTCATATCAGAAGAGTTCTAGAAGTACCTAAAAAGCTGTGGCATTAGACAGATCCTGGTGCTTCCATACCATCCTGCACCAAACGGACAAGCTGAATGCACAGTCCAAACAGTAAAAAATAATCTAAATAAGAGAATATTAGAACCTTGGGATGTCCATTTACCCAACATTTGGTATAGATTACAAGCTGCACCTAACAATATTACTGAAAAAAAAACTCAAAATTTTACTTTTGAACAACCGTCGGTTTAGGACCCAGATTGACTATTTAAATCCACTATCTTTTAAAACTGACAAGGAACTAAGCGCAAATGCCAACAATGAAAAAATTAAAGTACACTCATTCGAATTGGCTCAATCGGTGTAGGATAAGGAATTAGAGTAAAGGGCCTAGTTGGTTACAAGGAACAGTGGAGAAGAGAAATCAAATACTCATCTTGATTCATAAATGAGTGCCATTTGTCATTTAAAAAGTAAAAACTTACCTGTCTTTAATATTTTGATCAGCCAGTGGATCATCAGGATCAGTTGGTTTCTCATGACGATATGGGCATTCTTCACCTCTTCTACACTCTCCTTTTACCCAGAATGAACAAACATGAGGTCTGTTTCTCTTATAATAAGGCGCAGTTCTTGCTAAACGCAGCAACAGGTCTGAAGCCCCTTTAGACTTTAAAGCAGAATTGCTAGGCTGTGTAGCATCATACTTGGACATTTGATTGTCTAAATTTTGTATATAATACTCCTTGTTAACTTCATTTCGAGGTAGATCATCTTGAATCTTAAGGGCAGCATCTCTAACTTGGATTGGTAACCCATATTCCAAATCTAACAGACATGTTTGACAAACATTCTTCAATTTGGAGCATGTTTGACAAATTTCAGTTTTTTTGAAACGCATTCTGGCACCAGGACACCAACGGAATACGGTGAATGGACGTACGCATATTTTACACTCCTTGCCGTATTTTTCTTTGGTCTAAAAAGAAATCGTTGATTAATAAAATTAACATTTACAACTGTAAAATAAAATATACATAACTAATAATAATTGTTATTTATATTATTTATACATACCATTCGAATGTATGGGTTATCACCAAGGCATGTTTGACACAGTATTGGAAAATCCTGAAACAAATAAACATTAAGCATAAATATTATGGTTTTGTCATTTAAAGAACTATTAAATTTGATTATTATTAACTTACAGAATCCTCCCAGTTTTGGCGATTATAAGTATTTGTAGATTTTGAAACTGCCATGATCAATATTAAATTATAACCATTAAAACAGAAGACAACACATTACATTTAACAAAATTTAAATGTAAAAAGGTATTTCTATAATAGTTAAATTAAGTAACTAAATGCACTTATATGTATTAATTTATTTATTACAAAATTGATTAAGACAAGAAAGCACTTAGAAGCTCAACAGCATTGTGAAGCCATTTTTTTATTTTGTTCATTACTCATGACTAGGGATGTAACAAATTATCAATTTTTATATTAATCGATTTTTATTTCCGTATTATCGATTGTTTATAATCAATTTTTACAGTAATATTAATAAATTTTTAATACATCGATTAATATTAATATGAATATTATATAAATTACGCGTTTAAATCGATTTTCATAAACAGCGTTATCTATGCTACGCATGAAAAAACATTTGAAGTAAGTTTTAATTTTATAAACAACGCTATAATGTTAAACAATCATTTTTCAAGTAACTTTTATTACTATTACGTCCTTCTCACACTGCAAGAAATTTAAATTAGCTATTTAAATATCTATTACATAATCTTGAAGATAGACTGATTTCTTTATAGATAGACCTACCAGATCTGGTATACAACCCATAATTGTTTTCACCGTTCCTACTTTCCAATCGTTCCCGAGGATAATTCTCTGGACTCTGTGTCCTAGTACAGTAATTATCAACATTAATTTTAGAATATTTACCCCATAAACTTTCTCTGTTTTGTTTATCAGTCACCACTTTATTCTCAAAATCATTACTATTATTATCTATAGAAACAATATGCAACTTTTCCTAGTTTGTGCTCTCAATTAAGTATCTTTTATTTCTTTCCAATCATCATCTTCATCTTTCTACCCTTATCCCAATCATTTGGGGTCGGCGTAATATGATTTTATCCATATTACATAAAGATTTGGTTTTTATTCTTACGACCGGCCACCTGCTTGATGTCAACCCTCTTTCTATTTAAGAATTAGATCTTACATCTCTTGACATTACCTGTGCATTGATTAGGTTTCTAGTCTAATACAACTTTTGGTCCCATTTCCAAATCATCTAAGCTTTTATAATTTATATCATAATAACTCTTCTGTTTATGTGCATTAGAATACAATGATTTTTGTATTCTTAAAATTTTAATATTAGGTTTACAAATCAATGGAAGCTATCCTTGAATTTTCCTACCCATTATCAATTCCCATATATATATTTTTAAATTTTTTAATGTTATATTGAATTAAGTAATATTTTGTTATTCACAAGTGACTTATAATTTAACTCTAGATATGGGTATATTTCTACACTCTAATAGTATTAAGTATTTATCTTTACCTTCACTATCAGCTTTCGTAAACAAATTTTTAACTATGATTGTACACTTTTCTGCCAAGCTATTAGACTAAGCATGTGTATTATTGGAATATGAAAAGCATATAGATTTTTAAATAATAGTATAAATAGATTTTTCGCAGAAAACGATCATTCGTTTTAAATGAAATTGACTTTTATCTAATCGATTTATTTTAAATGATGATGAAACTATTTTTTTTAATCGATAATTTTACATTATACTGACATCCCTACTCATGACCACAGAACACATCTGCGACGCATTCTACCACAGATTAAAAGAGAAATATGATTACTATATCTTATACCTTAAATTATGAAATATACGTATATTTTGAATACACAATCGGAATTTAATGGGATGAAAAAATAGACTGAAATGAAAAGATGGACTGTTTCTGAAGTAGCAAAGATTTCTGTAATTTTTTGTTTTTAGTGCGTCATATATCAATGAAATAAATTTTTTATTTTTATTTAATCTTTATTTGGTCTCCTAGCAATTTTTTCACTGATAAGATTTAATATTAATATTACTGTCTATTTATATTTAGTGTACAATTATTTTAAAAGAAACACAGCATGCTGATTAACAAATAAATAATAATACGGTATAATAAACTCTTGTGGTATTTGACACAGGTATAGTTTTTTTAGATTTAATAAATGATTGCTTCACGTAAATTTTAGCTATTCAAAATAACTGCAATGCTTTCCTATAGAAATTCCCTGATACAGTGGAGTTGGCACTAAGAACATATTGATACACGTGATAGAAAAGAGAGTAAATTCATTTTATTGTAGGAGCAAGCAAAATAGAAATATAGAAATATAATATGTATCTTTGCCCCAGATATATATATATATATATATATATATATATATATATATATATATATATATATATATATTACTATTTAACATACAAAGTAATACAACTTTGGATTACCAAAGTAACATGTTTATTTGTTCAAAACAGCGAACTTCTGCATATAATAGGCAAGTGATTTGCATTATTCTATTAGTTTTTTTTTCCAATTAAATATAACTTGTTCATTGTCTAAATATAGTGTATTTTTTATTTATTTATGATAAAAAAAAATATAATTTCCATGTATTCTTTAGTGGTAAAGACTATAAGAGATACCTGTAATATTGCATTTTAAATTGGTACTATTTTCTACAACTATTGACATTTTAACTTTAATGTGATAAAGATTTCTTTAATGTGATAAAGATCTTAGCTGTCTGTTTTTATATAACCAAAAAAAAAAAGAAAAAAAAGTGGTTCTTTGTATCTAAGTTTCTTTTGACCTTTATCCAAGAAATTGTTTGATCTTAATTTTTGTCAGTGTTCATATGACAGTATACAATATAATGTACTCTATGTATTTGCAAAATGTCAGAATTTCATAAATTGTATAAACTGTGTCAAGCTTCATTTAAATTAATATCTTTAAATTTAAAAAATTGCCGAAAATATATAAAGGCCAATAAAGTGGAATTGTTTGTGCTTTATAAATAAAGGTTCAAGAAAAATATGTCAATAACAACATTAGTATGTAAATTTAGCTACTTTAAAGATGAATAAATGTTTACCGGTTAACAATATGTTTAATAGCAAGCATTTTCCTTTCAGTATTACTTACAATTAAAAAAAGAAAATGCGCATGACGATTCAATTTGGTGTTGTGGATGGAGTCACATTGGAAAAGAGAGCCAGAAAAATGACGAAAACACTGAAAATAACGAAAATTCTCAGTGAGTTTTGTAACCTAAAAAATATTATTTATTATTTCTCAAAATTATATTAATAAGAATTGGTTTATTGATAATCTATACGGTAATTGTTAGAGACAGCTAAATTGTGTATTTCAGAGACTCTAACCACTCCCAAGCGACAACAGAAAACTATATAATCACTGGTGGGCTTGATGATTTAATAAAAGTGTGGCAACTTGAAGATGGAAAATTAGAAATGAAGCATCAGTTGGAGGGTCATTCACTAGGTGTTATATCAGTTGCAGTCAGTCCTGATGGGAAAAGTATGTAGTAGTATCTTGAACATGAAAATATTAAGATAAACAATCTTAATAATTTGGAAAGGTTTAAAAGGAAAAAGATAATTATATTTATATAGACTTGTTAAAGTTTGTTTGATCTTATTTATTTGATAAATGATCTTGACATATCACTTTTATATATAAAAAAAATTGTATGATGTTGTGTTAAATGATCGTTTATAATTTAAAAGGATATAGAGGGAACTTTTAAGTTTAAATAGTGTTTTACTAATGAATTCATCATTCATCATTATTGTCTTCCTTTTCTTAAATTGTTTTGCATTGGTGCAGTATATCTTTTCTTCTCTCAAATTTTTATATATATATATATTCATTTTTGTATATATATATTCATTTTTATTAATATTTATGGTTTAATATTTAAATTTAAAACTTATTTCAGCTATGGCTACTAGCTCTCAAGATTCCTCATTGATATTATGGGATATTGCATCTGGAGAAAAATTGAAGATGATGGAGACAGGCCCCACAGATGTATGGACATTGGACTTTTCTCCTGATGGAAAGCATGTGATATCTGGCAGTAATGCTGGCAAGATATTAATATTTAGTGTTGAAACTGGTAAACAAGAACAGACCTTAGATACTCGTGGCAAATTCACACTCAGTGTGGCTTATGTAAGTTATTTTTATATTTTCTGTATGTCACAGATATTTCTGTATGAATTAAAATATAAATATTGTATTCATTAATCTAGACATCTAACATATATATCTTTAAATAAAGTGTCTTTCAGAGCTCATAATACTATCTGTAAGTGTTCTTATTTAAATTGTTTCCCAATTTTTTCAGAGTCCTGATGGTAAATATATAGCAAGTGGAGCTTTAGATGGTATAATTAACATATTTGATGTCGCTCAAGGCAAACTAGTCCACACTTTAGAAGGGCACGCCATGCCTATCCGTAGCCTCTGTTTCTCACCAGATTCACAACTTCTACTTACTGCATCTGACGATGGACATATGAAATTATATGATGTGTATGTATATGTTTTTGTTTAATTAGTTAGTTTAGAGTGTATAAGTATCCAAGTTTGTAAAATAAATGTATAAAAAATAAATGGCTCATAAATCTATATAACATTTTGGTCTATGAAAGGTACTATGTAAATACCATTTTTGTAAATATTTTAAAGCGTGAGGAGGAGGAGAATTTCATATGATTTTAGTTATTGTAATAATCTAAAGATGTATCATCTTACATTTATTATTACAATATATATCACATTTACAATTAGATAAATGTGATATATCCAAAGATATATCACATTTATCTAATTCTTACAGATTAATTATTGTACTTTTTTAGGGTTCATGCAAATTTAGCTGGTACATTATCAGGTCATGCATCTTGGGTGCTGTCAGTAGCATTTTCACCTGATGGCAAGCGTTTTGTGTCTGGAAGTGCTGACCGAACAGTTAGAGTTTGGGACCTAGACAGTATGCAATGCCAAAATGTATTTAAAGAACATAGCGACCAGGTAACTATATGGTCTTGTATTGTATTGCAAAGTTCCAAAATTGAATATTGCAACAATTTACAAAATTTTTTGCTGTTCTGTTGCAGGTTTGGGGAGTTAAGTTTAATGCAGATAGTAATAAAATTATATCAGTATCTGAAGATAAAAGCGTAAATATATATGACTGCCCATTGTAATTTATAAGTTAATTATTTACATATATTTTTAAATAAAAATAAAAAGCACAGTGTTTATTAATTTTTAAATTTCATTAAATTTTAATGAATAATTGGTAAAGTTTATAGACTAGGTAGGATAGATAATGTTACATTGATACTTCAATATTAACTTGAAACAAAGTGGAATAATATTCACCTTAAGCATATCTTAATTTAATTTTATACTTATAATGTTTTCAGCTTACCACTTTCTATTAGGTGGACCGTTAAGATTGTATTATTCTTAATTTATGGCCGTCAGCTTGTGTAAAAATCACATTTTTTGACATGATGACGGTGGTAATCCAAAGCCGTAAGCATTTTATAAAAAAAAATATTGACAGTGGCATAATTGTCAAAGTTATGCTGTCAGATTTGAAATATTTCGTAGACCGGTCTTAAAAAATTGCTTATTATCATTTGTTGTTTAATAATTAATTTTCTTATTTTTATATAATTTAATGTTAAATTTGTACTTAGGTACTTGATCCATTTAATAAGAGTTGAAAATGCCTACTGCATCTGTGGTATGTAATTTGAAACATATGTTTAGCAAATTAATCAGGACAATATTAAATATAAACCCTATAAATTTTTATTTATTTTTAATCAACTTTAAAAAAGAAGGAGGTCCTGTTTTCTACTGTTTATTTATTGTATGTATGCCCAAAGATTCCTCTGTCAATTATTAACCGATTTTCCACATTCTTTTTTATTTGAATGAGTATACTCTTGAATTGGTCCCATTGTTACACAATCTGGAGGTGGAATCCTAGAAAATTTCAAGGAAATCTTCAAATGTTATAGGCACATATGTTTTATATATATATATATATATATATATATATATATATATATATATATATATATATATATATAATAACCTAGTAGGGTGTATTGCTAGCAATGGGTCAGTTAGGCTGCATTACTAACAATCCCTTTCCCCCCACCAGGGATATTACATGCTGGTATTGGTATCTGGTAGTCATTATCTCATATTGCAAAGCTGCTGATGGAAGGCACAATTGCTTAATGGTTAGGAGTTAGAAGATAATGTTTTAAATACAATAGGCACATATAGACATAGACCTTTGAAATGAAATGAGTTTATTTGCATTAAACAGTTTAAAATTATTACAAGAGCCACATGGTATTTAGGCACCTGTTTAATTGCCTTCAGCGATTTAAAAAAAAGCATAAACAAAATTATAATTCAATTATATTATTTAAATTGTACTTACATATTAAAAGTCTAGTTTATAGTACATCATGTCACTTATACATTTTACTTTAGTTGTTATACTTTCTTAAAAATATTCGGAAGGATTTATGAAGGAAATTTGGATTCCTTAACCTTTACCATTTCGGGTTTCAAATTATTTAGGTGGTTGCATCTGAAATTCATCATTTCATGCTGGAGAGGTGATAATGAAAGGCATAGGATGCTAATGGTTAATAAAACATGTTATGATTTAATACAAAAACTAGTTTGAAAAGGTAATTTTCAATTCCTGACTTGACACTGGCTTCAAATAGATAATTAGGTATGAATTATAATAATGTTTGATCTACATTAATAGATAATCGGTTTATTAATAGCTAATCAGTTTATTTGTTGCTTCTTAGTAAGTTTATGTTTCATCTTTTTTAAGTCCTTTTTTTTTAATTTTGATATTAAGTATCAACTGCAACTGAATGGCTATAATATTATTTTTTTTAGTACTCGATTTTTTTAAAGAAAGAAAATGCTCACAATGATCCCATCTACACTTGTGCATGGGTTAAAATAAACACAACAGGAGACTCGAAGTAAGTGATTTAATTTTTTTACTTATTTGTTTATAGTTATTAGTTTATTAAGACATTTCATCAGATAAACTTAAATATGTTAAGAATACAAATAATATTAAAAAAAGAAAATTAAATATAATACTAAGAACGGCTGAACTGACCATAGGATTTTCTTCAATGACTATATATATATATATATAGTCATTGAAGAAGTCATTGAACATATCAACATATTGAAAATAGTAAAAAATTTACTAAATAAGCAAGAGTTTCAAGTTTTGCCCTGGCCATCTCAAAGTCCGGATATTAATCCAATCGAAAATTTATGGGCATACTTGAAAAGCATGCTTTTAAATCAGTATAAAGCACCACCATCGAACTTAAACATTTTATAATGTACTAGAAAAACACATTATCTGTGAAAATAGTAAAAAATTGTATGCCATTAAAAAAGCAAGAGTTTGACCAAATATTGAAATTATGAAATCAATATTTTTGTAACTTGCAAAAGTGAACCAATTGGCGATAATCATAAACCAAAAAGTTTAAGCTTATCAGACATCGTAATTAAATAATAAATAAATGTCGTTTTTAAAAATTCGTTTATTATTTAACAATTAATCCTACATTTTTTACGCTACTTTTTATGGAAATGTAAAATACTGACTCAGTTTTGCACCTTACTGTATATATATTGTACTTCATTCCCTTAATTATAATGATTATTTTGTTCAGGGACAATGGCAAAAATTTCATAGTGACAGGAGGACTAGATGGACTGTTAAAAATATGGTCATTTGACAATAACAAATTGGAGCTGGTTCACACTCTGACAGGGCACAGTATGGCGGTTGTCTCTGTTGCTGTCAGTCCTGATGGCCATAGTAAGAAATTGATATTCTTGTTATCATACATATATATGACTTTATATAAATTAAGTTGTATTTTTTTCTGAAATGAAATTTTATAAATTAGTAAATTGGTCTCTGATAGGACTTGTATGGCCACTATATGGCTTGACCCATATTTATGGTAGGAGAAGGTAAAAGAACTTTTTGGTAAGCCAAGAGCCATAATTAAGTGACTTCAAAAAGCAAATCTATCTAATTTTTTTGGAGCCTTTCAATTTAAGGTAGGGCATTGGGCCTTTTAAAGTAAGGCATTGCCCTTAAACGCCTCTTCCTCCAAGTCCTAGCTACAGCCATGAGAAGGAATTCTATTAGTTTTTTATTTTAAACGATATAAAATTTTATACCTAGAAGATAAAGTTATTATTGAAAAGATGTATAAATAATGTGTAATTTTATGTGCTGTAAATTATATTTCAGCTATAGCTAGTTCATCATTGGATTCAAGTATAATTATTTGGGATCTACTGTCTGGAAGTAAAGTACATGAAGTGCAGACAGGTGCAACTGATTCTTGGGAAGTGACATTTTCACCGTGTGGCACTAAGATAGCTTCTGGTGGACACACGGGGAAGATAGTCATTTATAGTGTTGAAAAAGGGAAACCAGATAAAATTTTAGACACTAGGGGAAAGTTTGCATTGAGTGTTGCATGGGTAAGAGGGTGACTTTTATATTATTTTGATTTTTTTAATAATTTTATATATGTATAAATTAATATAAAAAGTATCCTACTTGTTATTTACAATATTGAATCTCGCATTGTACTAAGCCATTCAGGTACTTCGTTATTATTGCTAAATGATATTTACTAATTACATGGGTTTTTTTAAGAAAGGACCGCCTTTCTCTTGTGTGAGACATATTCATGAGATTTTAAATGATTAAATTAATTTTGATATGTTAATGTTTTTACTTAATTTGTTTTAAAAATAAAAGGAGAATAAAAAGTTGGTATGAGATTCACTTATCCCTTTACTAGTGTTTCTACTGCTTAATGGCAATATATTAAGGTTACTATGGGCGATACAGTATATTCTGTAATGTTCTTGGTCCTGTGCATTTCTATAGACGACGATTGTCACTTTCCATGAGGTTGGACGTCAGCTTGTACACTATTTTAAGTGGCATAGAAATATTCTAACTCACCCGCACATTTTAGGCATGCATATGATGAATTATAATAAAAACTTTTATTACAGAGTGCAAATGGCAAGTACATAGCGAGTGGAGCGATGGACGGTACAGTATGCATCATGGACGTTGCTCAGGGCAAGCTGTTGCACACCATTGAAGCACACACACAGTCTGTCCGGAGTGTTGCCTTTTCGCCGAACTCTCAGCTCTTAGCGACCGCTTCTAACGACGGAAATGTGAAGATTTATAATGTGTACCAAAGTTGTCATATATAACAATATATTATATTATTTATAATATATATATATATATATATATATATATATATATATATATATATATATATATATATATATATATATATATATATATATATATATATACAAAAATATTATAAAAAAAAAGTAATAATATTGTAGCTAATTGAATATAAATTGTTATTGCAAATGTATAAAAACAATTAACGATTTGCACTCCGATCCATATTTCCAAAATTAACCCTTATTTTTTTCGTTATAATTAAGTAGTGGAAAAATTTCCTAGTCTCAAAGTCATTTATAATTTAATCATATTATCGGTATCTTAAAAATTTACATTTTTTGTTCTGGTAGTTCAATTTTGTTTTTGCGACGGGGGTTTTTTGAAAATTTTTAATAATATCATAAATGTGAAAGTGATTTTGTTAGTGTATGTATAGTGCCTTAACGCACACAAGACATGGGCGCTGTGTGCGAACGTGTCTAGCGACGGCAAGCGCGTCGCCTCCGCCGCCGCCGACGGCCGCGTGATAATCTCCCAGCTGGATGGTCTGAAAGTCCTCAACGAGTTTCATGAACATACAGCCACTGTGAGTATTACGTATTTTTTTTATAATAATTTTGAATGTATTTTAGAGTTGTGTGTATTGATTTAGCCAAAAAAGTGCTAAGTCGTGACAAACTTCACAACTTGCATTCACAATTTTTTGTTGCAACTTAAAAAGGTTTTAGCTGGATGGGAAAGTCCTCAACGATGGTATTTTTTTTTTAATAATTTCAACGAGTTTCATGAACATACAGCCACTGTGAGTATTACGTAAAAAAAAACTAGTTGTAATTGTTATTAGTCCAAATAATTTAATTAATTTAAATTAAAAAAAAACTAATTATTGTTATTAGTCCTACTTTATGCAATTTAAAAATAGGCAAACAAGCTGACGGAATTT